ATTATCGTTACAGTGAGCATAGACAACGGCAGACGCAATGTGCGGTGCCACATGGCATGGTAGTGATGTAGGCAGCAAATCAGGACTTAAAAATATCCCAGTACAGTGGTGCTGGAACAATTTTTAAGATGGGGGTGCTGAGCTGCAGCAGTCCCTTACTGAAAATCAAAAAGTACAGGAGTGGCAGGAGACCGAAAGGAGGCTCCGCCCACAGAGTGCGGATCGCCAGCACCAAAGCACGGAGCGGCTCATAAGCATTATGGAGCGCCAAGCGGACTCAATGCAGGCACTCATAGCATTGCAGATGGAGCAGATCTGCGCCCGCGCCCCCCCTCCGCTTCAGCCCTTTTCCCAAAACTCTTTCCCTTGTGCACCCATGTCACCGCCAACCCATTGCCCCCAACATCTGGTTTCTTATCGCCACCAGCTGCCTCCAACACCTGTAGCTTCACCACCCAGCCCTGTAAACTACGACCCTTGCCCACTGCACTCAACCCCCATCACCATGCATTTTAGCCAGCCTGAAGTGCAGCACTCATTGCGTGGCACTCCAGACAGGAAGGCTGAATATGATAACAAGACATACACAAATCTGTGATTGTCCCATTCCCCACCCCGCCCCCTTCCCTCCTCCCACACAGCACAGATGTGTCATGCCCTTTCTGTTTCCCCAGCAGTTGTGTTTCTTTCCAATAAATGAATTTTTTGGCTTTGAAAGTATTCTTTATTGCATTAAGTAAAAGATACCGTAGCCCAGGAAAGCAACAGGCACTGCAAGTCAGTGCATCATACGTAGCAAACACAGATGCCTACTAGCATTGGAACCACTGCACTTCACTCCCGTGCAGGGCTCCAAACATTACTGGTGGCTTTCTTGAGCCCAAAAAAGCAGTGTTCCACTATGGTGAGCATGTACATGAATGCCACAAGCAATCTCGTGTTGTATGTGTTATGCAAGTCGACATCATCATTGGACTCCTCGCTGTCACTTTGTAGCTTAAGGAGTAACTTGACTGCAATTTGTGACATGCTGGCGAGACTCATCAGCATATTCCTCACAAGTTCAGGATCCATTCCCACAGACCGAAAGGGAAGACAGAGTGCACAGTACAAAAAACATTGAAAGATGGTGACAAATGTGGACGGAAGCACAAGGATTGCTGGGATGCGAAGCAATGCATCACGGGGTATTGGGACAGTTCCCAGAATGCCTTGCATCCTCCCACCCCCTTCCCACAAGCCACAGCACCAGAGGTGCTCTGTGGGATAGCTGCCCATAATGCACCGCTCCCAATGCCGCTGCAAGTGCCGCAAATGTGGCCACGCCACTGCGCTTGCAGCTGACAGCATGAACACACTGCAGCGCTTTCCCTGCTGCCGTCTCCGAGGGCTGGTTTAAACTCACAGCGCTCTACATCTGCAAGTGTAGCCATGCCCTTAATCACAGAGATTTTAGTTGTGTCCAGGTTCTTTTTATATCTTCAGTGTTCTCTGTATATGAGGTACCCTGATGCCTTTGGTTATGTTCACAGCCTACACTTAGAGAAGTTAGGTAAAACACAACACTATAGCTGGAAGGCTGCAATGTAAGACAACTTTATTTCCTACAATCCAGAGTGATGCCACACAAGAACGAAAACCAGAGAGAGAGAGAAAGCAGGCTGCTCCCTAAAAATACAGAGTTACAGCTCACCCCATCCCACTTGAGGCTGGCTGGCTGCAGACTGAAAATCCAGATTGCACACTTCCCTACAGAACCCTCTGCCTGAAAGCAGAACCAGGAAACCTCCTGAGAATTAAAGTGACAGTTTAGAATTCTAAATCATCCACACTGCTATTTTTACCCATGTTAGCTTGATTAAAGCCAGAATGGACTTGCCAGCCCAAGCTGCAATCACTCCTCTGATAGCATGGAAAACATACCCTTCAATTTCACTAATCAGCATTTTCTCTGCATTTTTCCATGGACAATGGTGCTGCTCATATGTCACTGTGGGGCTTTTGTTTCTATTACATCATGGCTCATACTGAGAGACACCTTCAGAGGCAGGAAGTAGTCTTGTCATTTCCCCTCCCTCCACATATCCCCCTTATCACTCGCCTCTGTCACTCAGCACAGAGGCCACGCAGACCTGAGCGGGAAGAAGGAAGGTTAGTGTTTGTAAACATTTATTTCTTCTTCACTCAGAATATGGACAGAATGAGAAAAGCTGTGCTAAGCGATGAGTGTGTCCATCCTCCCAGCACATTGGATCTAAGTCTGCTAGAAGGCTCTGCTACTGCACAGTGATTAGAGAGCAATCACTTAGGATGCTTATTTCTTTTCTTTTAGGAGCAGGGATTTGGTAGGTTTGTAAGCTCTAGCGGGGATCTACCAATTCAAAGCAGACCTCTCATTGGCTTCAGTAGGAGTTTTGCTTGCAGACTAATAGGTGGAGAGGGCTTTGTGTTGTACTCCATATGGTACCCAATTCTGGTTTATCTCAACCTTTTGCCATGGACTCAGGTTCATTTTAGTATTTTTACTCTTAACTTTTGTTTCCCTTATTCCCACTCTCTGACTCACATCATACTATTTTCTTCCAGTCCTGCCTGTCTTGAGCCCTGCATTATTTTTAAACTGCTTTTGAAATACATCTGCTGATCAGGCTGACATTTCACTTTGCCTCCAAGGCTCAACAATCCTTTTCCTTATGACTCCTGCATGTAGATCATTTCTAATAAAGGCTCCGATCCTGTATTGAGAAGCATTTGTGTGGACCCTGGCAACTCTACTTCCTATTGAAGTAAACTGGACTCTGTCCAGTTGCAAGGGTCCATGTTAATCGAGCCCAATGCAGGCTCAGGGTCAAAAGTAGGGTTCTATCCTATGACACTTAGTTTATGAATTCCAAAGTGAATTCAGCTAAACAAATTGAAGGTCACTGTAATTCTGAATAAGAGCAATCACACAGCGGTTTCACTAATCCACGCTAAATTCACATCTTTAGCTAATTCAAATTCATTTTCCTGAATGTTCCTGTATAGACAAGCTCTTAGAACAGGGGTCGGCAACCTTTCAGAAGTGGTGTGCCAAGTCTTCATTTATTCACTCTAATTTAAGGTTTCGTGTGTCAGTAATACACTCTAATGTTTTTAGAAGGTCTCTCTCTAGAATATATAACTAAACTATTGTTGTATGCAAAGTAAAGAAGGTTTTTAAAATGTTTAAGAAGCTTCATTTAAAATTAAATTAAAATGCAGATCTTATCAGTTTAGGGTGATCCTTGCCCTTGCTTTTCCTTGCTGAGTTTTCCAATGTCTGGCACGTATTTGGATAGTTTAAGTTGCACACAGGCTTCTGAGAGATCAGTTGTTAACCAGCTCCGAGAGGGACAGAGGACAGATTTCATGTGTGAAAATACCTGTTCACACAGGTATGTGATCCAAATGCTGAAAGCATTGCAAATGCAATTTTCTTCAAACAGTTAAATTTCACTGGCAGGGACGTCCAGCAGATCACAATAGAGGGCCCATGATCTCTCTCGGTACTTTTAAGTGCACTCCGCAGATCTCCAAACTTTGATGCCCACAATTCTGAGCTTTTTAATGGAATAAGCTGCATTTCAAAATCTTCAACACCCATCCACTTAAATAAAGACAAATCCAAGTCACTTTTGTTGAACTTTTCAGGATTAATTAGAAAAGAAAGCATTGGGTCAAATCGCTGGAAATCTTGAAATCTGTCAGAAAATTCTGATTCCAGTTCTTGCATATACATTCCAATCTTTCCGACACTGACAGTGCAACGTGTTGATAGATCTTTTATGTGTTGGAAGTAGCAGAAAGTCGAAGTTCGAATATCCCGAGAAAAAACTGCAAGTTTTACAACAAATGCCATCCAGATTTCATAAAGATCCAGAACCGTTTGCCCTGCACCCTGGAGACAGAGGTTGAGTTTATTTAGGTGAGCGGTGATGTCAGTTAGAAACATGAGCTTACACAGCTATTTGTCATCATCCAGTTTGGGGTAGTTTTTTCCCTTTTTCCAACAAAAAGGCCTTGATTGCATCAAAACAGTTTACAAAATGCACCAAAACCTTGTCACGACTTAGCCACCAAATGGTGCTGTGAAGTGAAATGAACGGACATCTAACTTTGCTTTCTTAGGGGCTGACATTTTGTCAAATGTACCCCTCAACTTACAGTGGGGGAAAAAAATGTAACAGACGGCATGCACAACGTCAAATGCAATGTGCTGTTCCACATGACATGATAGTGATGTAGGCAGCAAATCAGGACTTAAAAATATCCCAGTACAGTGGTGCTGGAACAATTTTTAAGGTGGGGGTGCTGAGCTGCAGTGGGCCACACCTGGGGACGGCTGCAGAGCCCCGGGCCG